AAAGCCAGAGAAGAAAGAGACTCCAGCTCCCACCCAGTCCTCTCCGCTCCAGGGCCAGAGTGTGCTGAGCTTCAGTCCCTCTCGCCCTGCCTCCAGCAGCCCCAAGTTCTCCCCCAGCTGTACACCGGGTTATAGCCCCCCTCTGGGCAGCCCATCCCCACCAAGCAGCGCAGGAGGACCTTTTACGCCCTCAGTGGCCTTTGGAAAGGTGCATGTTATTTCAGAAGCACAGAAAAAACAGAATGCATCGAAATTAGTGTAACATATTGTGCGTCGTCTGATTCCTAGGTGCTGAACTACAGCCAGTCTTCAGGCTCTTCTCCCTATCAGAACAGCATTGGGTCAGCAGAAGGCTCTGGCTTGAGAGCTCGGTATCGCACATCTCCTTCGGTGTTTAACTCTCCAGGAAGCAAGGAAGACTGCATGGAGGATCTGAAGAGTCTGGAGCGGTTCCTGCGTTCCGAGGAGGAAAAAAGTCACCGCAGTCAGCTCGGTGGGAAGGAGTTCTTCAGCTGAAACCAGTTCCTTTTATACAGGAACTGAAGTTTCTGCAGAGTACCAGTCGATGTACTCATAATCTTTCTATTATGAACTTATGTTTTCGGCCGCTTCATTCCATCTGCAGGCAGTCCAGAGTCCGTGTCTCCAAGCCACAGCCCTACTTTCTGGAACTACAATCGCTCCGTGGGAGATTACGCCCAGAGCTTGAGGAAGTTCCTCTACCAGCCGGCGTGCCGCTCTCAGGCGCCGTCGGCGCACAAGGACGAGACGGACCTGGGTTCTAAGCACGCTGCAGAAGAGGTCTATTTTGTTAATTTTATACTGTTTTGCAGTTGTCCTCAGAAAACACCTGTTTAGTTAAGAAAACAAAACGACTTCCTATGTGCAATTTGCATTCAGACAGCGCAGAATCAATATTTTGTAGTATCTCAATATTAACTTTTGTACACAGAGATGAAAATGCTTCCCTGTTATTTGCAAACGACTCCAGACTGTTAGATTGATGGGGAAAAAAAAACATTTTTGAACATCTATTTTTAAGTTATGCCACATTCCTAATTGGATTTAGATTCAGGCTTTGACTAGGTCCCCACATCACTATAATTCCTCCACCTTTGTTTGCTATTGTAGTGAAAATCTGTGATTGTACTGAGATCAAATGAAAACACAGGTGGACATAATTTACCAACAAGATGTATGTTTGTCGAATTGGATTTCTTTCAGGGGAACCAGATTAAACTTTGGCTAAATAAAGATGCAGATTTAGATTTTTTAAAAACGGTCATGAAAATAGATATCTGTCTGTTTAGGTGTGGGCCAGAATCACCACCAGCAGAGCCGCAGCGGATCACGTCGACAGCTGGACAGCCAAGCTGAGAAATGTGAGTCCTGATGTTTTTTCACTGGACATCCAGGGTGTCTGCGCATCCTTAAAATTTCCTTAAAGTCATTTAAAAAGTAGGTTGACCTTTAATACGTCATTCCCAGGTCTTAAGTATTGTCTTAGCGAAACTATTAAATTTCATATATTCTATGTTGTTGCTTTTTCTGGCGGGGCTTTTCTGTCAGGCAAAAATTTGAGTCGCACTCAGACATCTTAATTGATTCTGAGTCGGAACTTTTGAGGGTACCGCTAATTAGCTGCTAACACACTCTTGCTGGCTAACTTGTTTGTGTCTGTCACGGTTAAGTGCACATTAATAGCCAGTTGGCTGGACGAAGTTCGTACATTTCTGTGGGGGTGTAGGCCTTAACGTACAGGTGTCAAGCTCCAGTCCTCAAGAGCTGCTGTCCTGCAGTTTTTAGATATGCCACAAGTACAAAAGGCTGGAATGAAATGGCATAATTATCCTCCTCCTTGTGTAGATCATTCTCCAGAGCCTTTGCTAATGACCTAATTATTCTATTCAGGTGTGGTGCAGCAGAGGCACATCTAAAAGTTGCAGGACATTGGCCCTTGAGGACCGGAGTTTGACACCCCTGCCTTAACGTCTACTCATAATAATGTTAAATTTGAGTTGCTGAAACCTGCAGAAAGCCTGTTACGTCCTCCATAAAGTCTGGAGCGCTTAGCTGTGAAAAGCATCAACTCCGACAAAATAACATTTGTGTCCGCAGTGGATTAGCGACACCATCTTGGTCCCCCTGGTCAAAGAAATCGACTCTGTCAACAGCCAGCTGAGGAGGATGGGCTGTCCGGAGCTCCAGATAGGAGGTTAGACCAGCTAGAAATGCTTAATAACTGTTGGAATTACTGCAACAAACGTGCTATCAGCTTTCCCGCTTTCCTCCACTAGAGGCCAGCATTAGCAGCCTGAGACAGGCAGCAGTGATGAAAGCTTCCTTAATCCCCACGCTGACCTCTATTGTCCAGTACCTGGACATCACTCCCAACCAGGAATATCTAGTGGATCGCGTAAGAGGTTGGTTCAGCCGTCCGACCTGTGTCTTTTTTTTTTTATAAATTGCTGTATTACAAAGACAAAAACACATCAGTGTGTATACGTTTTTATTATTTCAGAGCTGTCTCACAGTGGCTGCATGAGCTCCTTTCGCTGGAACGGTGGCGGCGATCTGAAGAACAGGAAGTGGGACACGGATCTCCCGACTGACTGCGCCGTGAGTCTGCATCAAAAACAAACACGAATGAACTGTCACGATTGTGCAGATTTTTTTTGTTTTGTTTGTTATTTTAGTGGGTGTTTAGAACTCTGGTATTTTTGGGGCCCCTCACCGTTCTTGATGTTAAACTGGCACTCTCTTAATGTGTGTGTGTGTCTGTAAAGACTCTTTGTGTTTCTTCTTTTTTTTTTTTTTCTTCATCTCAGATCCTCATGCATGTGTTTTGCACATATTTGGACTCCAGGCTGCCCCCACATCCAAAGTACCCAGATGGGAAGACTTTCACTTCCCAGCACTTCAGCCACACTCCGGACAAACCTGGTGAGAGCTGCTCTGTTAACTGGGAGCGAAACGAAACTATAAAAACAATCAAACTTCCCTGCTTTCTTTGTTTTGATGCTGTTGTCTGTGTTTTTAACTCTTGTAGATGTTACCAAAGAGAACCTCTTTTGCGTCCACCAAAGCAGCACCACGCCCCCTCACTACCAACTTATATACCAAGGACACATCTATAGTCTTCCTAAGGTGACTGAAAACAAGCCATTTTTTTTTCATAAATGCTAAATGTTTATTATGCTTACTTTTATTTTGTAATTGTTTTCTGTGACAAATGGTGTTTTGCAAGTATTTCAGTTTAATTCAACACCGCTTGGAATTATTACCTTTTATGGTCCATTGCATAAAATCTCAAATGAAGTAAATTGATGTGTGTGGCGAAGTGCGGCAAAACTATTTCAATGAGTATTTTTCTTTAAAGCATATTATATATTTTTCTGACTCGACACATCTTTTGTTGCTAAGAACACTGGATTGCAGTGAGATGAAACCCATCTTGATTTCTGTCACAGGGAAGGAACAACCTATTCCACACGATCCTCATGTTCCTCTATGTCATCAAGACCAAGGAATCAGGGATGCTGGGGTAAGCTCTTTTTGACGCATTTATCACGTATTGTGGACGTGGTTAATTATTGGATGTTGTATTCAAAACGCTACTGGTCCTATGTTTTGGATAATTTTGACTGTATTCACGTTGATTTTTTTTTTCTAGGAGGGTGAATCTGGGCCTCTCTGGAGTGAACATTCTCTGGATATTTGAGAACTGATGCATCGTGTTTTAAAAGCAAAAAAAAAAAAAAGAGGCATCTTATTTTCTTCCAGGCTGCAAGGATCAGCTTCCGAACTCTTTCAGGGTCATGCCCTAAGCAGTTGTTTTGCTTTGAAAAGAGAAATGCATGAACAATAATGGACACTTCCACTTCTGGAAAGAAAGATGCTGTATTGTCATTGACCATTTCTGTTGCATCTATTGATTTTTGTTTTTCTTCCCGATTGTCATTTAACAGCATGGCAGCCTTGTAAATTATATACCTCAAGTTTATCAGAATGATAGCAAAAAGGGCTCAGACCCACTTAACCTGAATGTAAATATTTTTATTTCTTTTAAGCAACTTGGGGAAAAAAAAGTCATTGGTTTGCTCATTGTTTAGGAAAAATAAATGCCTTGCAGTGTAAGGGAATACTGCTGAATCAACATGAAAGCATGAATTTGGAGTAGATGCAGCAGTGCAACAGCAGAAAACTTAAAATGCACTGTAAATCATATGTTGACTATGATATTTAAAGGCTGTAATGCTCCACACACAAGTTGCGCTTTAGAGAACTGATAAGTGACCTTTTGACGTAATTTTAAATAATAAAAAGTTATCAATTTGTTTCAGCTTCCTCATCATTCGGTGCTGTTCGAAGTCTTTGGCGCAAAGTTCCCAAAAGACGTGTTGACTGGCTGCAATAAAAGGTTTTCTCTGCCCTGTCGTTTGTTTCAATGCCAAACTAATCCGCACGGTGGCAGTGTAGCTCTGTTTTCCGGTTTGACCTTACCGCTGTACTCGTTTTGTAATGATGCGCCGTCACAGATGCTCTGCGATGCTGTGCCATCTAGTAACTGACTTAATCTGGCTGGGAAAACACAGCAGAGCAATTCAGTGGGTTGATCACATTAATTTGTGAAATGTAATTATTTTTATTTAATGAGAACGTGTGAGTTTATTGTGTCTTATGGAGAACATTGTATGGAAGATTTTTTTTAAACGCATTATCTAGCCAGCAGTAATGTTTAGTGTTTTTTGAGAGGTTCTAATACGAAGTGCAGTGTCACGTTGCTATTCCTGTTGGGAAATGTAGGCAAAGTCTCGATCAGAAATGCGTTCTTGATTGTTTCATAAATTTGTGGTTGGGTAACATTTGCTTGGTATGTTTTGAAATGTTTTGGAAATGTTCAGACAAGAGGTCAAAACTGTCACAAAATACGAACAGTTGGGTAGTGAAAAGGAGTACGGCAGTGAAACTTCAAGTCCCACAATGCATTTGGGTGCCGCTGCTCCTCCATTCACATCCGCTCGCCTCTCTATCAAGCGCTGGGGGAAAAAGGACTTTGAGAAACTGCGGCGATGTCAGTCCAGGTTGTGGCAGCGAAAATGGCAGAGGTCGAACTCAAAGACGTCTCTGCCGGCAAAGCCCTGCCGGCCGAGTCCCCGGTGACGCCGACCTCGGAGGACAAGACCCTCGCCAGAAGCGAGCCGCAGAAGGAGGCCGGTTCCTCCGCCGCAGCCGCTACGTCTCCCGCCGCGGAGCCCTCCGCGAAAGCCGGGGAAGGCAGCCGGGGTTTGCTCACCCCGAGCGCCGCCAAGATGCCACAGGCGTCCGCTCTGAAGCACTCGGATCCGCAGCAGAACGGCGGAGACGCTTTCGTGAACCGTGACGGCACGGTCGCAGAGGCTCCGCGGATGAAAAAGGTGAGCGACGAGGACACTTTTCTCGGTTGGAGACGCGGTGAGAGCTGACTGGGTAAAGCTGGCATTGTGTGACGATGCTAACAGGCTAGCTGATCCCAGAGCTGATTCAGCTGTGACCGTTAAGGCTTTTAATCACGGCTCTCCCCTCTGAAACCTACCGTGTCATTAATGAGGCCGAAACACCACATTACAGCCACTTTTACAGCAGGGTGAGTTTCTCCTGCCGTTTTCGTTTGTTTGTTTTTGTCGAATCGGTTTCATAAAGACTTGAATATAATCCCAGAAGTTTCGCTGTTGTAAAAGTTTTGCTGAGACTAAATTTGTGGATTCAAAGACGTCCGGGAAAAACACAACTTGTTTACGGCACGCATGTCTTCATTGCTATGCAGGTCTTAAAAATAATTTGGAGGAAAAAAAGGGCAATTAAAAAAAAATGTAGTTTATTGATTTTCTGATAGGTTGTAGCTTTTCTTAATCCGGCCCAATGCTGTAACTTTCAGCTACAAGGAAGATGTTTGTTCGTTGCCACGTGAAGTTGAGATTTTGTTTCCTGTTAAAATACTGCTGGGGTAAAAAAAAAAAAAAAAAAAAAAACAGCATAATGCTGCCTTCCCCATGTTTTACCTTGGAGGCTATGTGTTTTGGTGGATTCAGGGTCACCCATTCATAATGTTTTGCTTTTTCAAACAAGAAAAATAACTTATTGCCTTTAGTTGTATCGTTAGGCTTATTTGTATGGCTTTCAACTTCACAGTAATGAAGCGGAGGAGGAGATGCAGTGATATTATCCCCACCTCCCAGCGGTAGTAAATGGGTTCCTCTGTTGAAACATGAACCTGACAACTCGTACATTTTTTGTTGTCTGTAAAGATGCTCCTCTCCTTAACTTGATACTTCAGCTCGTTATGGTCTGTTGGCTGTTGTTTTGCCGAACGTTGTCGTGTTTCTGCGTCCATAATATTTCAAGCGTAGTTAAAAAAAAATTATGAAATGAAAGTCATCATTTCATTTTGCACACCACTTATGGATCCATGTCATAGTTTTTATATTATCCCAACTTTATTGTCGTATGACTTTTGTAATGTCTTTTTTTTTTTTTTGTGGTCGCCCTTATTCTCCTTGTTTTTAGCTTTTTTTCCAAGATGCAACGTTTCTTCAAATAAAACTTGAATATCTTCCAGTTCTCCCCCCCCCCCAAGTCAAGTCCATGGGCGGGTAATATCTAATGTTGATTTCAATCATTACATAACTTTTGTCCTCCAACCTGTGCTCAGACATCAATGATTATGTCAGATTTGTAGGGCAATCCGTGTAATTCACTTTGATACGAGGAGATCATCGCAATAAAAAAAAAAAAAGCTAAAGTGCTCTTCAGGATCAACATAATCATAGTGAGTCGAGGGTGTTTTTTTTAATTTTCAGCTTCACTAGTCAGCAAATCCATTGGAGCGGAAATCTATCCAGGTAAGCAGTTTGTTAATGTAAATACCCGGCGGTGGACGTCCACAGGCTGTGTTTATAGGTGCCGCAAACGCCCTGCAACGTCATCGACATACACAAACCCAAACAGCCCGGCCTTTTATAATCTGCTGAGTTCTGCTGGTCCGGCTCTGCAGCTGATGATGCAAGTGTGCAAGCAGGCGGCGTTGGACTGAGTGAGCCGGTTTCTGGCTAGCGTTTAATCCCCGCCTTTATCATGTCACCACATGGGATTAAAAGGCCATCTTCCTGTCGTAGGTGAGGACAGATGTAAGCTTTTTTGTTCCGAGCCGCCGATGAGCAGAATTCACAACCAGCGTGGCGTGGCACGAATGGCTCCCGTCTCCGGGAAGTCCAGTGATCTTTTCTGATAGAGCTCCCCACAGGCTTACGCTGTGCCATGATAACCGTTTGCGGTTATTGTGGCAATGCCACAATGCGTACGTATCCGCAAAAGAGGCCACTTGCCGGATTGAAGGGGATACTGATGGTGACTCCACAGAAATGCAGCAGTTGAGAAAGCTCTTCCCCGTCTGAAAGAAACATTATGTCATGCACTAAGCTGTTGTTCCTGCTAGCGCTTAATGGTTTATAGGCTTACAGTGACCTGTGGCTGCTCTGCTGGGGAAGAGAATGGTCTGGAGGAGATTTAAGGCAAATTAATTCTAATTTCATTGTGTGCTAAATTGTGCTAATCACAACACAGTTTCTTTGGGATTAGTGTGACAAATGATTAACTATATAAAAGAAATAAATAAAAAAACAAAGATGAGGGGAGTGATTTAACAACCCAATAAAAGATTCAAAAATGCAGTTAGCATGTGCTATAAAAAAAAAAAAAAACTGCACACCACTTTTCATGTTTTGGATCAGTTAGGTTGAATAAAATGGTTTTTATATGCTAAAATATAATTTTTTTTTTTAAAACATTTTCTTGGTATTTATTAGAAGTCCTTCTAGGCTGTATGACAACCTGGTCAAACATTTTGGGTTTCCTCCCACAAGCTTCTCACCTATTTACTGGAGTTTTTGTCCCTTTAAATCTGACAGAACTGGTAGCACTGAGTCATGTTTGTAAGTAGGCTTACTTGTACTCGCCTTTTTGGTTTGGCCCACTTTTTCCGTCACACAAAATGACAATCATTATGGCCAAACACTTGAGTTTTAGTTCTATATGACCTAAATATGTGCTCCCGAAACCTTAACATTTTTGTTTCCGAGCAATATGTTCTATTTTTATGGCTTCTTCCATATAAGTGGTGTTTCAACCCATTGTGACTTGGATCAACCGAACATTCTGGTTGGGTTTGTAGTTGGATGTAATTCTAATTCTTTGTACTTCAGCTAATTACTTTTCTTGAGTTTGTGTTGTCCAGTCAACGGTTAATCAATTACGAAATTGGTTGACAATTATTTCAATAATCGGTTCACCATGATTCATCCGATTAATCATTTCATCCCTACATGTAACTCATTCTTCAGAGTACCTTGCAAAAAAAACATGGGCTGGTTAGATTTTACCAAACCAGCCTCCACTTAGCTGAAAGGAATCGTCAACTTAAATTTCAAAGGTCATTCTGAGAGTTGCAGCCTTTACGCTATGTTTTACAGTGTTGTAATGTCTTCTGGTTTCTCACTTAAGAAACTGGGTTGGCGAAACGTCCTGAAAGAAAGTTACTAAATGATGAGTTTGTGTTCAATATTTGAATAAAAAAATGAAACGTCACGCAAAATTCTGGAAGGTTGATTCATCCTATCTGAGCCCAAAGTCTCACAGGGCTTCCCCTTCAGGTAGAGGAGTTGTGATGAGGTGCTGATCAGCCAATCAGAAGTAGGCTCAGACTATCATGAGAGAAGCATCAGACATGTACACTACAGCATAACAGCGTTGGCTGTTTTTTTTTTTTTTTTTTTATGTGGTCTGGAGATACAGATCTCCCCCCTTCACAACTTTGGAGTCCAGTGTGCAATTAAAATCAGACCAAGGGAGCATTAATCTCAGATTATTTTATGGTGGTTATGGCATGAAAGCCACAACTGCCATTCCAAACTGTGAAAACATTTAAATGGTTGGATTGTAAATGAACTGTGGTGGTTCTGACCAGAATTCCAATCATCCAGATACAAAAAAAATTATTTCTAAATTTTGTCAAAGCACTTTAAGAACCGAGTTTGAATGGAAGCTTTTAGTTGCCGTGCATTCAGGCCTGTCGAAGGTTTTCATATAAGTGACGTCATCATGGTGAGCTAAAGCAAACCTAACTTGCTTGTGTGTCAAACGGCTTGGATCATTATTATAGCTATTCAAATATCATCTTGGGTTGAGTCTATAGGAGAATCGCTGCACTCGGGTTTGCTTTGGAGTGCCTTCGTGTCTCTAAAACATTAAAGGAGGGACGTGTGCCGTTTGTGAGTCACTTCAGCAAACACGAGCTCATGAGTGTGCGCGTGGTGTTAACGACATGCATTAGCTCGAGTAATACTACACTGTCCTTCATTAATGTTACATTATCGTATGGCCAGCAAATACTTTTAGCAGATGGTCAATAAAAGATTAAGCATTACCTGTTATGTATTTAACTTCACCAGTTGACTGATGTTTTACAGTAAAAAAAAAAGAAAAAAGACATTTTGTGGGGTTGTAGGAGCTCTGTGGAAAGCAGTGTTGGCTGCTATAGAGTGTCACAAATTCACACCTTGTTATCACACTTTTATATGTCCAGCCTGTTGGATGGAGGCTCACGCCACCAAACCTGACAGGGAAGATGGCGCCTAAGGAGCTGAAAGCATCATAATAGCGGAGAGAGAGAGGACTTATGAAAATAACAATATTTAATAATACCACAAATTCAGAGCAGCCCTCCCCATTCAGCGGCAGCAGCAATTAGCAAACACCTACAGGAACTGTGACTCTGAGCTCATCACATGAACTACTTCTCGGTGCAACTCTCCTAAGATTGTTTGCAAGTAGCATGTTGGAGAAAAGTTGTTGTGACAGTGATCTGAAGACAAAGTGTTGGAAAGAGCAGGAGCTTCTTAAAGAGACGGAGGCCCAATTTCAAAGTGTCAAATTTCAAAGTCAATTTTATTTTGAGTTATGCTTGATATATGTACAGCATTTTTAGAACAACTGAAGATGATTTAGTTACTTGATTTTGCTGTGATATGCCTCAAAAATATATAAAACCTTTACCATCTAAGGAGCTAGTAAATTTGAAAGTGTAAAGCCAAATTATTATTTTACAGAAGTTTGATGGAGCATCTAAAACATGCAGTACAAGGTCTTCAATGACCAGAACTATCAACCTCAGTTACAGAAATTCTTAGCTGCCTTTGCTCATCAAATCTTCAATTCTATTTCCTCTATAATCCCTCTTGGTTCAGCTCAGCCTGTTAATCTGATGTCAAATCGCTCTGTAGTGCTTTCCAAATGATGGCGAAGACTTCTGAAAAGAAACCCGACACTTCCTCTGTCTGTCTTCCTCACAGTCTTATTGTGTTCCTAAATACAGCAGACTGCA